ACATACCTAGACACTGCAACCAACACGTCAGCACAAGACCTTGACCGTGTGATCAGCACATTCCCAAGCTTCAGACTGAGTCCAGTTCCCCTTCGTGCTGGGTATTTGTCTTTTGCTGGAGACCTGGTCGGGTACAGTCGTATGGCCATAGGCAGGTGGGTACAAATGTGTGGCTTTAGACATTTTTCCTGGCAGGCTGTTTGTTTTGGCATTTTGGACAGCTGCCTTGTGCATGTAATGCTCGTGTATGCTATAGAATATCCTGATACTACAGTCTGAGTCAAATTTTCCACAAGAGGCAGTGATGGACATTCTGTTTGGTTTTTTTTTTTTTTTTTGGCTCTTGAGCGGAGCAACTGTGCGGTGATCCCTTTGCTATGAAGGTGGAAATGCGGTTACCAAGACTGACTATTTCGTCCCCTTGTGGGACGCAGTTTTTCGTTATTTGGAAACCCCACCCTGGCTGTTGCCGGGGGTTTTAAAATAACCTAACGGTTAAACGAGGTTCCTGGACCTCTCCACAGGTGACCCTTATCCGCATGGTTGCACTTCGTGTCACTGAGTCTTTATCCCTCTGTGTGATGTCTGAGTGGGGTAAAACCTACGTACATACTAGTTACCTGTTCAGACAGACAGGTTCATTTTTATTTTCAAGACGATCACCTCGTTCCTCGGACATACTCATTAGTGCAGTGCCTAGCGGTGTATTTTCGCATCATGATGCAAGTCTGTCGCCCATAATAGCTTCGCGATGACAGATCTAAAGGTCAAAATATATTTAAACTTGGTGCTTATACCGCCCCTACGGTGTCGGCTGATGAGGTCGCATCTCTGCATCATAACACGGCACGGCCAAGCATGAGCGATGAGATCTTCTCCTAAGCATGTCTCTTTGTATGTTTTCGCTGCGACTCCTGTTTCGTACTAACTAATGTAGCCACGGTGAGCTCTTGCATGGTTAGTATATCTAGACTTCGATTCAGAGTCAGACATCCTCACGTTTGAGGACTTCAGATCATGATGTCTCTCGTAAAGCATTTATCACGCCCGTTCAGGACATGGAAGGTCCACAGAGAACTAGTCAAATAACAGAAAGTGTATTGATCGGCACTCATAGAAAGAAGTAGAAAGATAGAAGAACACTCTTACAGAGAACTAGGAAGAGGCTGAGACATTAAAACTCGGATGGTTAGGTCACTTGGATAAAGGCGTCAAGAACACTGACCTGATCCAGTTTAAAATAAGAGACAGCGAAACATGACAGGCTACGTTTACCGAATGTGGAATTTTTAATACTGAATAAAGAAATGACATCACAGCACTTGGAACACCCCCATAAGCACTCCGTCCCCATCCTTAGCAGCAAGCAAAGAGTTCCACTACGATGGCAACAGTTACTGTCTGATTGTATATCCGTCTCGCCTTAACCTTGAGTGTTGATTTTTGGCCAGATTTCCTGTTAACTCCTCGCAGCGCCATCCTCCTCAGACCGTAATGATTTTGTGCCTCCGCGCTATTCACTTGTTTACAAAAAAAATCTCAAAACATCTTACTGGCGCTGCACATGATGATTATATTGTAAACTGCATTATAATTCTGTTTATTTTAATCCTGACGGTGTCTCATGAGTTTCAAAACATGGAAAGAATAAATAAAAGTTAATGAAAAAGTGTTTTCATGTAAATAATATGCTGTAGTGACTATCATTGTTTAGAAAACACATTTTGATGCGCGTCCTTAACTGCTGAGAAATACATACAAGCACAGCTTTAGTTATGTTCGTAATGTTGTCGATTATTTGTTTTTTCTCTTATGTATGAAAAATATAATATTCTTATAATATAATATATGAGCGGCTGGCCGATCGTTTAGAGCGCTAGGCTCTCAAGGGGAGACCCGGATTCGAATCCTCGGTGAGGCTGGGGCATTTTTCTATCGGGTTAAAATAAAATCATTCCCTGCACAGTCGTGGCGACAGTACTAGCCATGCGGCTGTAAATTTTCAGGCTCAACCCCCCCCCCTCCCTCCCGCCTACACCACAACAGTCGTATGATAAAGGCAGTAACTGGATAGCCAACGCTATGTTATCAATATTGAAAATGGTCTTCAGAAGATAGACGTAAAACAGTCACGACAGAAATGAATTGCTTTATCGAGGACAGATAGACTTAAGAATGCGATTCAGCAGGAGAGTCGACGTAGAAAAAAAAACTGAACTTTATAGGTAGACAACAAATGAAATGGTTTGACCATGCAACAAGATTGGCATCAGACAGGGCACCACAGACAAACAAAAGGTTATACAGATAAAACGGTAACAATCCAGAGGTCGACCAGGCAGGATATGGACCGCAGAAATATCAGAGACACAGATAAGTACTGTATACGGATAAACCATTCCATAAATTTCTTTCTGCCTTGACGCAACGAGGCATTCCAGGAGTAGAAAGCAAAAAATGAAGAAATATGGAAACTTATGAGACACTTACTAAACCTAACACCTCTATTGTTTAGAAATGTAAACATAATTAAAGCTTTTGTAATTACGACCTAAATGTTGTTGATGATGTTTATTTATTATTTAGGTAAGGATTGAAATGATGTTCATTATTATCATCTGTTTAAAGGATATATAAATGAAATATTGTCTGGAGTGAGTTCGGAAGGCCAGAATTTAAGACGATAGTGCTGACTCAATTCGTACCGCTTTGAAAAAAAAAAAAAAATGCGTGTTATTTGGTTCTACTATGATAACCTGTTTTTTAACAGATTTCTGACGGATATCAATTTCCGAACTGGAATGCAAGGGGGACCTGTAGTGATATTTGATAACACCAGCAATGCGGTGGTGATTTCACCCTTATCACAATTTATGGCTGCCTCCAGCTATATCCAACGGGGACAGCAAATTGGCTGGGGCATCATGGGAATGGTGAACGATGTTCCCCGTGGATACAGTGTGGATTTTATTGTTTACTATAGCAACCAGGGAATTAACCAGGTATGTATACATTAGTGCACCAGTCTATCATTCTGTAGCCTAATTGTTATTATTTTTTAATTAAGTCTAGAGTAACACCTGTCTAGGCAAACTGATGAACATTAAATGATGGGATTCCAATAAAGGCAAAGAAATCAGAGCTGTCATCTCGTAGATTCAGGCCTTTTTTCCACATTCTCAGCTACACATCATAGCACTCGCGCCCCACTCGAAAGATAAGTATTCACTAGGCTGTAAAACACTAACTAACTAGACATTTGTCTCGTCCCTCATACACTTGTTCTGGGTTTCTCATGCTGGCGCCCTATCCCTGTTCAGATACCTCGTGCTTTCGCGAGTTCTTGCCTTGTCACGTGTTCCACACTTGTCTTCTCTTTGCCTTTGTAACGTCATCTGAAAACCCCAGTGGAAATTCCTCTTCATTGCAGTGCTATATTATTTAGATTTTTAACATTAGTTGTAAAACTGCTCATAAAAACGTCATTGACTTGTTGTTTTATTTTAAAAGATATTTAATTCATAATTAAACTGGGGAAAAAACATGTTAGTATACCAGATTATTGCATGTACAAATGCACTCATTGTAAAAACTGCTTAACGCTTCCTTAAAAGTTCCTAACGCACGAGGCGCGTCCCCCGGTTGGAAAAACTCTGTTCTATATAACTTTAAAAAAAAAATATTGGGAGCGTGGGATGAAAAGTTGGGGGGGGGGGGGGGGGGGGGGGGGGGGGGGGGGGGGGGGGGGGGGTGTTAGCGTTGTACAGACATTTAGACAACAAGATGGTTTTCATGTATGACAATTGTTTCTATCCCAGGCCATGCAAGGATGGGGCGATTATTTAACCAGACTCTACCAGAAATCCACAACTCCAAGAGACAACGATCTTACGGTACAGTATTTGGGCTACTACACCAACAATGGCAAGTTTAGAACTTGGAACATTTTTTATATGCATACATCATCGTCGTCGTCATCATCATCATCATTATCATAATTATCATCAACATAATCATTATCACGACCATCAACACCCTGCCTTTGTCACCACAACCACCACCACCACCATCAGCGCGTGACAGAGAGCCAAACACGAATGTATTGACTTCCGTCTAGCTTACAACACTTTAACCCTCTTTGCCGTAGGCTCCGGCTGTTTCAATAACCTATTCTTTAGTACATTACCTCTTTGAGTCTCAGGGAGCGCATAATATGTTCATAGGTTCTTACCTAGGAGTCCAGTTAACGCATGATGTGTCGATTTTACCTCTCTCTTTACTACCCATTGGGCCTTTGACACTAAACCCCCTAGGACTCAAAGAGTTAATGATAAACGGTATATTTTTCGTCTAGTCCTCCTGGTTCCGGGTCTCCGTTTCCTTTTTCTCCTCCTTTTTTACTTTCCATGCCCTCTTCTTCTCTGTTTTACATTCTTTTCGCTGCCTGATAAAGAAGGTATCGAGCCCAGAGCATGACCACTATTGCTCCAGCAATCAATCATTGTTTCATTCATAACTGTTGTAAACGATATATAGGACAAAATTAGTCACGCTAGTAAAGCCTGAATGCAAGGGAAGATGCAATGGATGTCCTACAGGAGTACATACACCTGGCGCCGTCCTGGAGTGTTTCCATCTCCTAGACAGATACCTTTGAACAGAAAAACTTAACAAATGTTAAGCAAACAAATAAACAAACAATTTAATAAGATGGCGTTGTTATCTATATATTATAGACGTAATGATGTCACCATGATTGAAAAAAAAAATAAATTCAGAAGTGGCTAGATGGGGAATCAGACTAAGCTGTTGGGGTTTACGTTCGACAGAGGATTATCTTTCAAGAATCACATCGATAAGAGCTGCACGTGTGGGTTCATGGGCCCTGTTATAGGGAAAACAAGAACAGACCCACTACCTGATCAAAACATGTCGTAAGAGTCGACTAACTGAGAGCTCAGTGTACGTCTGCCTGAAAGGCAAGGAACCATCAGTCTGCATACAAATGAGTCAGATCTCTAAAACGGATGCGCATGCAGCAGTCGGGTTTTGAAACAGAATTGCAGTCCAGAGGCGTTACGAACAACCATAACTTTCCGCCAGTTTACAGCTGGTGAACGAAAAGAGGAAGGAGATTTTAAGCACAGCGATAACTTCTTCTTCTTCTCCTTCACCAGCTGTACACTCTGGCGGAAAGTTCTGGTTGCTCGTCCACTAGTGAACTGCAGTCCAGCTCCAGAACCTGAATGTTGCGTGTGCATCAGTTTTACAGATCTCATTCTCTTGAATACAAACTGTTGGTTCCTTGCCTCTCCGGCAGATGCACTCCGACTTCAAAGGAAGCTCCCCAATTAGTCGACGCTTACGACATGCTTTTGGGGAGGCAGTGGGTCTATTCTTGTTTTCCCCACAATGGGACCCCGGAACCTACACGGGGGACAGAGATAACTGAATGAGCTGTTGGTTTTGGCTTCTGCGGGTGTAGAACAAGGGATATTATATACACTCAGTCAGTGCCTAGTTAATGATGAAGTACATAGTATACTGCAAGCTAGGTAGCTGATTAGAATTACATGTGTAACAGAACACATCATTCTTGGGGAACTGGACATCATGAAGAGTGAAAAATTTAAGAGGGACAGATCCTGGATGGCCCAAGCTGTAAAGACAATCAGAAATGTCGGCTGCGTTAAATAAATTAGACGAGGAGAAGAATGTGTAAAGATACTGGAGGGTCGAGAAGAACTGCAAAAAGTGGTAATTACACTGGGGAAGAAATTCAGTGAATGCGGTGGGTGAGGGACAGCACTTGCTACGCTGAGGTTCATTAGGTGATAGAGAGCTCTAAGCCAGTAGAAGTGAATATATACCATGATGGGTCAGTAGCTAGGGGTAGAAAGCGTGGATACGGCTTCGCTGAAAAAGAATGAGGGTGCTAGGGGTAACCCTCTTTTATGCCTTCAGGCCTATTGGGCATATAGGGCTAGATCTATATTTTGAAGTCTAATCGACACTATGTGAATTATGTGGCCAGCGTCGCATCGACTGCCTTTACTTCTCAGGACTATACCTAGTAGCTACTCAAACTAGGTCGACCTCGGAGCCGAAGTCATTTTAAGAAAAGTCCGGCTCTTTCAGGACTATACCCCACAACCTTCTAATCTGCAGACAAACATCTAGCCGCTGCAGCCCAGAAGCTCCCTGATCATTTATAAGGTTACTTATTATATTTAGTTAGAGGTTAGAATGTTAAAAAAAAATTGTGTCTTAAACTGTGACCTCCACAAATGTAAAGTGATACTAAATCTTTCCGTTTTGCATTATCTACGTAAATTTGCAATGGCTTACTCTATTTCCCAGGTGCGTACTATTATTACAACACCGAACAAGGCAAAAACTATGAGAGTACAATCACTGACCTTGCTGATTACATCGACAATATAAGCGTACCATTTAAGTAAGTCAACCTGATAATGATAGTGTCTGTTTCGTTACCAGATTACCAGTGTCTGTTTCGTTTGCCAGCAATTTATCAGGTGTCGATACGTTATCAACGACCTACATTACTTTCTCAGTAAAGAAGTGTTTCCAAACTTTTCTTAGTCGCAGCGTCTTTTTTTCATTCAAAAATGTGTCCACTGCGCCCTAGCCTGAGTAAAAGTATGATTATTCGTGTGTAGGAGATCAAAACCAAATAAAACTGGTGTATCTTTATCTCGCAGCGCCCTGTAAAGAGGTCGCGGCTCCCCTGGGAGCGCGGCGCACAGTTTTGGAATCCATGAAGTAAATTGAAGGTCGCTTTTTAGGCTAATGATAATAGGGCTATTTATGCTAGGCTCGTATTTCTTATAGACCAATCTGCAATCGATGTGTGATGTGGTCAGCAATACGTCAGCCGGCTTAACATCCCAAGATATCACCTGATACTCATTTTAGTCATTGTCGACCTTAAAGCCGAGGTCAGTTAAAAACAAGTCTAGTACTGTTCTGAATCGAACCCAAGATCTTTATGCGGGCAAGCGTGCACTAAGCTCACAGGTTCTTAAACATTTGTGAGCCATGGCTCACTTTTTCAATGAACAAATCACCCAACGCCCCCTCCCCCTTCAAACATCAACATCATCATCATGTGGAGCGCCGATGATCATATGCAGCCGTGGTTTGCTATCCTATACGATCAGCTGAACCACGGATTAAGTCATTCTGTCCTGACCCATGTATTCAGGGGCCAAGTCATCAACATATTTATCTCATTGCTTTTCCATGCAGTCTTTTCAGACTGTAGTCTTGCCAGCTATCATCGAATTATATAATGTATTCCTTGCTTTGAAACATACATTCTGTAATCGAACAAACAGTTGGCTCTGTGGTTGAGTCGATGCGAACGCTTCGTAATGCCGGGATGCCAGGTTCGATCCCAGCTGCGGGCCATGCGCCTTGCTCTGGTTTCGAAAGTGGTATCAAGAAAGCCGACCGTCCAGGATTCAATGGCAAACTACTTGACGTGAATTTGCCTAGAAAACCACACAATAGCCAAGGGCTTTGGGGTTGTTTCTGCAACGTATTGTAAAGGATACTAAACAAACCAACCAATCGAAAAAACAGAATGATGCAATGACAGTTTGGTTTATATACTTTCTGCTCACCTCTTACTAATTTGTTCCAAGGTCTCGAACCTATTGGGAGTCGCCGTAGATGAGCGGCTCGCCTGCGGATCGGAAGGTCATAGTTTCGCTCCCGGGCGTAACAGGATTTTTGTTTTCTAAAATCATCTTGGATTCCAGGTCGACCCAGCCCTGAGTGGGTACCAGGTGCAGTCCCGGAAGTAAAGGCGACCGGCGTGATGCCTGCCACATCACCTATATTGTGCCGATTGGTCTAAACATATAGGTCTAGCCTTACATACACTGTACGCCTAAAGGCGTGGAACAGTTTCCTTTACTTTATTTCTTTACTTGCTCAAACCCATTTCGTGTATTGCAATATACCTTCTGAAACTGAACAAACATAATAGCAAACATCATGATGCAATGACCACATTACTTTGTATAGTCTTTTTTCCTACCTCTTACTAAAAGCTCTGTTTTTAATGTCATGGTCTTGTTCTCTTGTTCGATGTCATAGACTGTTGAAAGTGTGTCCTTGAGGTTTTAGGTTGTGTTATGTTATCACAACGAATTTCGAAGATATTATTAGGGTAAAGGATATAAAACAAGTATTGCAAAAAGCAAAGGACACTGCGCCTGGGCCAGACGGAGTCAGGTATGCTCACTTGAAGATCATGAGTGATGAAGACTATAGAGAGATGGCTTTTTACTTTAACCAGAGCATCAGAACAGCTTCAGTACCACAGGAATGGGTACACAGTTACCTAACTACTCTTCTGTTGTAATCTTATTGTCCAAGAGTTAAAGTTTCTTCTAGTTTTTTCTAGTGGTCACAGGACAGGTGAAAAGTTCACACAGCGGCCACGGGTCGGGTGGTTACCTAGGACATGCTTACCATATCAAAGAGTCAGTTGATAAAACTTGAACTCATACAGAATGAAGCCATGAGGGTGATTCTGTGATGTACAAGAGATACCCCGGTAGTATGTATGCGATACATCCTTGCACTGCCTACTACTGCAGATAGGCTCAAAGTTCTGCAAGCAAAGTCATGTCTCAGAGTGGCTGCGGACAAGAGGCACCTCTTGCGTGAAGCCCTGGAGAGAGCTAAGAGCCACACACTGAATAGAGGAAAGTCTTGGATGGCTCAAGCTGAAGATACAATTCGACATGTGTGCAGGCTTGATAAATGTAGGCGAGGAAAGGAGTGAGTCAAAGTATCCATACATATATAGGTGTTTGATATATAAAACTTACACAACGAATAACGCAAAGGAAGACTAGATTTTATGCCCTACTGTACTTATAAACGGCGCAAAAGAATGATTATAATGCTGACGATGGTAATAATTGTATATAAGCTGTAGTTAGTGATAACGTCTTTGAAATTATTACATACAACCAGGTACCTGGAGTTCGATTCTTGGTGGTATCTTAAAGGCAAACATGACGGGACAAAAACATGGGAGCCACAGAGCGACATTTTTCCACACGGTTTCCAGTGAGTTCTTCATTTTGAACTGTTGATGCGGATACATGTTGATAGATTGATTAACTATTAAAGGTGAAAGTCGAGAGGATCGAAATTCATTACATAAATTTGTTTATCTTATATGGCTCAGGCTCTCTCCACAGAATGGCTAAGCGCGTGCCGAGATCGTCACAGAAAGCATGAACACTGTAGCTCTGGTGACGATCCTCAAGGTCTACGTAAAATCTTCACTGATAAAGTAGACAGTGCCGCCATGAAACCTAATACTTTTAAGAAAAAGGGCTTGACCGATTTGCTACAGAAAAAAATGGTAATGCAAAACACATACAAGGTCCGACATTTAAGCAATGAGAAAAATTCCATCAAAAAATTAAATTAAACAACAGTTGAAGATTTAATCTGTATTTTATTTTAAGTAAGCATCTTATGCATTGATACAGCAAGTGGCACGATGTAACAAACACTGGAACGACCTCTGTAATTCATCTGTTGTTATGACCCTTAAAGTCGACGTCACGGCCCTTTGGGTGTCGTCAATGTCGTCAAAGAAGCGTCACATCAATGACAACATTAATTTTGGGAATAGAAAATAGTTGCATGGTGACAGATTAGGGCGAATAGGGTGGATGGTTGAAAACACGCACTTGTTTTTGGGCCAAAAATTTCTTTACAACTACCGCCCTTTGAGCGGTGCATTGTCATGAATAAGAAACAAATTGCCAGGTGCTGAAAACAAACAGACAAGTCACTTTTTCTTGCTCAAATCTTCCACTAAAAATTTACGAATAGTCTCTATATTAACACTTTATTTATCTGTCAAAGAATGATGTTCTTGTATCCGGTATCAAAATTTTGCAATGAGTTCCTCATTACGAACACAAATTGGACGTCCAGGTCTAGCTGCGTTAGTAATCATTTCTACACCACTTTTAAATCATGAATACCAGCTGAAAATCTGTGCACGAGATAAACAATTATTCCCAAAAACATATTGTATTAATTCAACTGCCTCAATGGCACTTCTTCTGAGTTATTAAAAGAATTTAATTTTAGCTTTTTTTTTGGGCTCTGTGCTGATTACGTAAAAATGCATTTCAGACAAGGTTAACAAAATGGCGGCTTGTTTGTCGTCTGCTTATCGGGAGGCGATAAAAAGTTGCCAGATCATAGACGGAGGTTACTTCTTCGGATTCCGTGCTGTGAATTATATATGTTCCATAACTTTATATTTAACAAGCGGTGAAGACAAAGATGAAGTAGACGAATATGTATTAAATATAGGGTTTTAATAAGGCCTTTTTTCACAAAGTCGGCATATAAGGGCAGCAGTGGAGACCAGGATGAGGTAAAGGACAGCAGAACAAGACTTTCTTTCACTATCCATGGCGAAGCCGGGCAATTCAATCTAGTAATTAATAACACTAGATCTACGATTGACATTATGTACATGATAAATATAATCTTGTATAATATACTGCTAAAATATGCAATGTGAATGATTCTGTTTAACAGGTATATTTATAACAGAACAAAGTTACCGATTGGCTGTCATAACAGATTTTGGTAAGAGCAGATGTTGTTTCATAAATTCTCGTTAGGCGATACCCCATTAAAAAGGAAATATGTCAACATGATTATAATTGGCTGTGGAATAGACAGGGGGGGGGGGGGGGGCTGAATAAAAAGGAGAAGGAGGAGGAGAAGAAGAAGATGAAGAAGAAGAAAAAGAAGAAGAAGAAGAAGAAGAAGAAGAAGAAGAAGAAGAAGAAGAAGAAGAAGAAGAAGAAGAAGAAAAAGAAGAAGAAGAAGAAGAAGAAGAAGAAGAAGAAGAAGAAGAAGAAGAAGAAGAAGAAGAAGAAGAAGAAGAAGAAGAAGAAGAAGAAGAAGAAGAAGAAGTAGAAGAAGAAGAAGAAGAAGAAGAAGAAGAAGAAGAAGAAGAAGAAGAAGAAGAAGAAGAAACAAAAGAAGAAAAAGATGATGAAAAAAGAAAAGTAATAATTTAGCAGGCCGGGGAAGCAGGTTTAGCTGTTGACAAAAAATCCGGCGTAGCAGGAGAGGGTCTCTGTGGGCTTCGCTATTTGGTCTGGCCAATTCCCCATAGGACATGTAGTCCTCCTATCGATGCTGAACTGTACGGGGTTCTCTACGCAACGTAGGCAAAGACGGCTGAGTCGAATAAGATGAACTGGCTCACTCGTTTTGTGTTTGGTGGAACGTTCAAAAGTTCAAAAGACTGTTGAATCTAGATTTCCATTGTTCACCCTAGCGCTGAAATTTTTGATTTTAGATCGCTGGATCAAATTCTCATCTTTGTTAGCTAGAATGATTAGCACATGGTATATTCAAACACGTTGTTGGTTGTTAAACTATTGTTATCTGCAAAGCACGCTAGTTTTGTGTTCAGGATAATAAACAGATGCTGAATGTTATAACTGTATTTTTTTTTTTAATTTAGAAAATGAATTGTAGTTCGTTCACATGATCTGACTAGGCCCTGTCTGTGTAGTTATATGTTATAGTTGTTGTTGTATAATTCACTTTACACATATTCTTCGCCTGAGTCATAAAAATATGTCCTGTTTCCTGCATCAAAAGAACTCTTGTCTTTTTATTACTTTTTCTGCTTTTGAAGTTCAGCGGAAAACTACTTATTGGCATAACAATATTTCCTATTTTTTTCTTCTTCTTGAATTCTTTTGTTTTCCGCTTTCTGCTAGCTCAATATAATAATAATAGTAATAATAAAAATATCAATAATATTAATATTAATAATAATAATATGAATAATAATAATAATAATAATCAGAAGAAGAAAAAGAAGAAACTACAAAGAAAACGTGCCAATCACTGTCATCAATATTTTGAGCCAGGAACTGTGTGAGAATTCAAGCAAACATTTGTTAACCTCTGTTGGTATGCATATGTTGTATACTATATGTTTGGCGCTGTGAATTTGCATGTTTTCATTATTGTGTTCTTTTCTTTGTCTCTGCGATTTACCATTTACCGTTATTTGTGTGCAGAGATAAGCTTCGGTTTTTGTCCGAAATATATAAAACCAGCACTAGTACATATCATAAGTCGACAGCTGTTGCCTAGGGTTAATAGACGCGGTTTATAACTCGGTATATAACCCGGTTTAGTTCCATCTGCTCCTGATTGCTCAACAGACCGCTTTGCATTGATTTCCTCAGTAGTATCTTAGTGACAATGGTAAACGAATGATTAGGGTTTTTTTTTTTTTTTTGGAGGGGAAGCATTTCAGTTCAGAAACTGAGAACTGACTTCCCGGCGTAATGTAACGTACGCCAGAATATAAGAAGATCCTGGAATTCACATTTAACAGCAGAATTTTGAACCACCTGGATTAAATACTATAAACTGCAATTTAAGACAAGCAGTTGGGATTAACAGACAAAGCCTTGGAAAGTCAAGTCAGTAGTCGTTAGTTAGGTCTTCTTCTTTGTTCGGTTTCGTATGCTCAGATCAAACTATCAAGTGGGTTGCCTCTATGAACTTGCATGTCAGCAGCATGTACTCCATGGTTCCCCACAGCGTGTTCTGCACACTTTGCACTTGAAGTTAGGTGTCTTTGAAAAAAATAAGTTATTAGGTGGAGTTCCTAATTCACAGTAGACGCATCGCATCATACCTGCAAAATTTCCTTCACCAATTTGAATACTTTTGAAAAAACATGTCGGTCACAAGTCAGTCTGAAAAAGCTTGTACACGCCCTCAACGATTTGTGTGTGTGTGTGTGTGTGTGTGTGTGTGTGGGGGGGGGGCATTGGTGTGGTACTGTCGGAGGCTCATTGAGGCTGACCTTTAGTCCCGGCGTCTATGATCTCGGTTCAGACTAACAAAGCGTTATGAGTTACTTAGTGTTACAGCCTTAGTTACAACATTGTAACTGCATATCCTGTTTCTTTTAAGAGAACCAGTTTTTCGATGTTTCTCTTCTTTAGGGATGTGGACACAACCTACGCCAAGTACAATGGCGGAGCATACAACTTTATACCTGACAGACAATCCGGTTTCTCTGTGCCTGACGATTATGTAAACAAATGTTTTACTGAATAGAATATCTTGAACTGTATGTGAGTGAGTGAGAATATGTTTGTGTGTGTACGTATTTTGTGTGTATGTAGGTGTGTGCATATGTGCGCGCGCACACACATGCCTGTGTGGGTTTATTGGCACATGAGCTTGGGTAATTGTGTGCATGTCTCTTGAAAGGTGGAGTGCACATTTTAGTGCAATGCAGGCGTCGTGCACCCTTGTACGAATGTGGGCGTGTTTGTTATGGTGCGCTAAATCGTTTCCATTCTTCTTTTTATTATTATTAGCGCTCACCAACTGGAAGCTGGGGGAAAGTTGTGGCTTTTCGTCAACATCAGTTTTGTATGTACATTTTCATTTTAAACAGAGCTGGCCTATTTGTTTGCACACTACTGCTTCCTCGCCTTTCAGGCAGACTTCACAGGAACACCCCGAATTACTCGCCTCTTACGTCATGCTTATTAAGGGGCAGTGGGTCTATCACCCACACCCACACCCATACATACACACTGGGGGTCCTAGGATCAACACAGGGGAAAACTGTATTTAATACCCCTGAAAATAAAAATGAACTAAAAATTTAAAAAGCCACACACACACATACACACACAAGTAAAGAATTTTGTTGCACCACTGATGCATCGGATATGACGTGATAGTCCTCTATGGGGGGTTTGGTTGCACCATTGATGCATCGGATATGACGTCATAATCCTCTATGGGTGGTGTGGCTGCACCATTGGTGCATCGGATATGACGTCATAGTTCTCTATGTTTGGTGTGGTTGCACCATTGATGCATCGGATATGACGTCATAATCCTCTATGGGTGGTATGGTTGCACCATTGATGCATCAGATATGACGTCATAATCCTCTTTGGGTAGTGTGGTTGCACCATTGATGCATCGGATATGACGTCATAGTCCTCTATGGGTGGTATGGTCAACACTTTCTTCTCCTGCCTTTTCTTCCCATACGTTTACCTGGCGCCAATGTGAGGCTGAGTAGACTTGCAATTCTAGGATCCTAGCGCGGGTTCCGGAGCTCTCATTGTGTGTCAGTCACTTTGTCTACAGTTGCCTGTAGCTCTTGGACTATCCGTTGCCTATCTCTCCCCTGCCTATATGCACGAACGTCATCGGCAAATGTCAATAACCTTCCCACACCTGGTGCTTCAAGTTTTGCAATCTTGCTTGTATTCTTATTGACAAGCAGTGGTGAAATTGCAGAACCCTTGGGTAGTCCCTGGGCGACATTTCATGTTCCTGAGATCCATGTAAGAAAGGAGTAGACCCACTACCATTCCTCCTTTCTCAACAAGCATGTCATACAAGTAGGCTGATCAGGGGTGGTTACTTCAAAGTCGGAGTGCATCTGACTGAAAGGAACCAACATTCTGCTTACAAATAAACTAGATCTGTGAAGAGAAGTGCAAGCAAAACTCAAGCTGTGGAAGAAGACTAAAGTGTAGAAATGGACCTGCAGCTAGGACTTTCGGTCTGAGTTTACAGCCGGTGAACGAAAGGAAAAAAAATGAAGGCGGAATTCTACTTCTTTTTCTGCGTTCACCCGAAGTTGTGTTGTGTTCGTTTGCAGCATGGCTGCGGTCTTTGCACCTTTCGGCCAACAAATCCGACTTTTGCGGGCATTTTTTGACCTGTTTATCCTTTCCAGAGATTATTCTGCGCAAATTATAAAAATCACCTATACTGTAGATTCAAAAACTAATCCTCTATCATTCGCTCTAGTTGCAAACTTTCTAAAACTGCTGTCGATTACTCGGCTGATGTGTCCTATCCGGACTTATATCGAAATGTTTACCGTACCATCGTGAGATTAAAATTGCAGCGTAGACGGCAGACCAAATCGGCAGCTCCCGGTTCAGCTTCCAAAGAAGTTATAACCAGATCACTTGTAACATCGACATCAGCCAGGTGTCACCCTTTTGCCCCTGCGCAAGCAAAGACAGTTAACCGATCACTTTATTGTACCCGGGAGGAAGGAGGGGGAGGGGGCGAAAAAGGGCGTCCGACTCTAGTGCTGAGGGTCCTGGTTCAGGCCCCGTTCAGGCTGGGATTTTTTTTACATGAACTTCTGGTAATTTCCTCTGGTCTCGTAAAAAATCCCTTGGCAGTTGGAAATCGAAAAAAAAGTAGCTTAACGGCAAATTTAGAGTTAAAATCTACCCATAGTATTTTAGGATCCTGGCCTGTGCTAGGGAGTTCGTGCACTGTGCTCAGACACTTCTGACTCAGGCTTGAGTTAGAAGTAGAACGGAGTCCTTATAGGTTACAACCAGTGTGCTATGATGTTAAACCGTTGTATACAACAACAACAACAACAAATCTATAGGTCCCTTTCATTTGTATTGCAATCTGCTCTTTCTCGCTTTTTTTCATCTACTCCTTCTCGTTTATTTATATATTTTTTTTTTAAAAAGGCTTGTCATTTAATGTGCCAGAAATATGTCACTTTCACTCCACGATCTCGTTGGAATTTAGTGTATTTCTTGTTTCTGTTGTTTATTTTATAAATACTTCTAGTTTTTTTTTTTTTTTAATAGAATTTCTGGGAAGACATTTTCAACAAAACTCAAACCTGGGGCAAGTTCATCCTTTATGAGCAGGTTCGTGATAATCGATTTAATCGAAATTGTTTCTCATTTGATAGTTATACTTCGACTCATGTTGCCAGTTATCATACTTCTTGCTCGGCTGCTCCTCCTCATTTTTGTCACCTGCTTCTTTTTTTTTTTTTTATCTTCTTGCTTTTGACCATTATTATCGTGGTAATATTAGCTATCATTGCACCACTACCAACATCATCGTCAGCTGGCCAAGAACACCATCGCCACCCACCATCATTAAAATCATTATCAACATCTTCATTACCGCCATCATTATTACCACTACCATCATAGACACCATCGCCCCCATCATCACCACCATCATCGCCACCATCATCACCATCATCATCGCCGCCACCACCGTCATCATCTTTATTAGTATCACCACCATCGTCATCATCTTTATTAGTATCACCACCATCGTCATCATCATCATTATCATCATCACCATTATCACCACAACCACCACCATAATCACATCTCATGGACACACAGTGGTAACACTTACTATCAGATAGCGTTTAGAGCCTGTGAACTGGTTTCTGCCTCATTGTTAACAATGATTTGATTATCACATCCTTTCTTTGGATAATTATGCGCTCTATCTTCAGGATTTATTTTGTAAACGTCGTCTTCACAATTGAAATTGGTTGCAACAGACATGTTAATCCACCACTGTCTTTAGGTATATTATACAGAGAGGTCCCAATCTCTTGCAGGGTGTGCCTCTCGATCCACTACATGAAAGCTACTCTAATAGCATTTATGTCCTAACACCGCCCCCTTATAATTCAAACCCTAGGAAGATTGTTGTACACTTTCACTGACCTGTAAGCCATAGGCTGGCTACTTTCAATGATAAATGTTCATTGGCTCAGAGATAAGTGAATGCACTTCACAGTGTCACAATTCTCAAAGTACCAGCGTTCTTCTTATTCTTCTTCTTTGCTTTCACCAGCTAAATCTCCACGGAAAGTTCTGGTTGTTCGTTCACCTCTGGACTTTAGTCCTATTCCAGATCCTGAGTGTTGCCTGCACATCTGCTTTACATATTTGACTTATTTGTATGCTATTGTTAGTTCCTTGCCTCTCAGACTTTAAAGGAAGCCCCCAATTAGTCGACTCTTACGACATGCTTGTTGGAAAGCTAATGTGTCTATTCTTGCTTTCATCAAACTGGGGTCCCAGAACCCATACGGGGTGCATCTGGGTTCTATTCCCACGACTCGTGGTTTAAATAATTTTAAAAAAGGGACTAATCTTGAAGATTTCTCATAGCAGTTCGAAAGCTGGGCCACGGAGGAGTTTGGGCTTCACCACGCAATATTCTTAAATGACAAGGGCTGCACCACACTGAACCTTCACTGTCTAGGCCTGGCACTTTGTTAAAACTTGTCATAGATATTTTATATATTTGCAATATATTGGCATTTATTTATGAAGGAGATGGAGGTTGTGATATTCACCAAGCCTGACATTTTTGAAAATGTAATCAATATGGGGTTTAAGTATAAGCTAAATGAGTTAAGGTCTCTCACTGTGCAGGAACCTAAATAATAATAGTAATAATAATTAATAATACTTGTTTTCCCACAAACGCAAGTTTCTTTTATTATATTCTAAAACAATTCTCACTGTATTCATATTATGGTGAGTATATTATCTTAGTATTTTATTTATTCCAGCATGTTGTAATCAATGATTTTACATTCTGGAAATCAACGACACAAATGTTTCAGCTCTAACTTACAGCTGTTTAGCGATTATTATGTTAAGAAATATGTGGATGGTTTTGCAGACACATTTTGCATTTTTTTTTTAAGTCTAACATTTTTTTAAAATTACGAATTAAACGACAATATATTTTCATCACCTAAATATTTAAAAGGCATACATATTTTAACTTTTTCTGAGATTAGCTGATGTTATGATAAACAGTAGGGGCCTCGGGGCCTTTTATAGCTACGGGCCCCATGGAGTCTAAATCAGGCCCTAAATGTGATATAGTTATTTTTTTTCTGCACGGAATCTCAGCTAGTATATTTTGCTGTACTTTATACTAAAACAAACATGTACACTGCTATCAATAGCTCTAGGTATGTTTCAAACTTTTTGGATTACCTGACAAATGTCATAGGTATTTCGGCTGAAAGCTTTGAAAAATGGCTATTTGTAATGTCTGCAGGACTGGCTGAATAGAGAAACAGACAAAAATGCTGTCCTTCACAGTGATCTGTTTGTTGGTCGGCGTTGGTTGTCTCAGATGGGCAAGGCTGCGGAAAATTATGGCATAACAATCCAGTATTGTTTGTCATATCCCAGGCACATTCTGCAGTCACTGGAAATCCCATCTGTAACACAGGTCTGTATGTGTGTATGAGTTGTCAGTTAGATAGAGACCTGCGTGGTCTACAACCATGGTGTTCCCCCTCGAGTGCTAGAGGTTCCTGGTTCAATCTCCGGTAAGGGCTGGGATTTTTTTACGTGGACTTTGACTTTTAGTAATTCCCCCTGGTCTCGGGTAGTGATATCGGACGCCCGTGTGCATTGTTGCGCACGTAAAAAAATCCCTTGGCATTTGGAAATCGAAAAGAGTAGCCTAATGGGGCTGCCCGGGCAAAATCTGGAGTTAAAAATGCTTTTGGGTAGGCAGTGGGTCTATTCTTTTCCCTATAATAGGGTCCCAGAACCTACACGGGGGAGACATTCTTTCAATATCCCCAACCATTTAAGTCTATTGGCTCTCATGATGCCAGCTATCAGTGGTGATTAAACTGATTATGACTTTCGTTGTTGCTTTTCACTTTCCTTTCACCGCTGTTTGAACTTGGTGGGAGTAAAAGCAACAGAGGGTTGTCTACATACAGTCTATAACATTTGTTGACTTTGTTTAGCATCTGTTTTGTTGTTGTTGCTCTTTCTGCTCATCGATGAAATATTCTGACATTCTTTAGGAAACGATTTTGTGATTTAGCGTCTGTGTGACACACGCTAGTCGGCACACTTTGATGCTGTACCTACCATGAATTGGGGTTTTCGAAAATATAAGACATGCACTAGATGTGAGCAACATTGTTCTCCTGAATCTTCTTGAGTCTTTAAAAACCTATCTTCAGGAAACAAGAGGGAAATTTAGGTAATATGATGTCAAAGCCGAAAGAAAGAGAGAGAGAGAGAGAGAGAGAGAGAGAGAGAGAGAGAGAGAGAGAGAGAGAGAGGGAGAGAGAGAGGGAGGGAAAGAGAGAGTCAGAGCTGGAGAGAGTCACACAAATACAAACTCTATAGTTCCAGCGACCAGCCGGGATATTTTGGTAAAATCTGCACTCATGAACTGAATACAGTGTATTTGAAACGAACCAACTACCTTCGGGGCAAAAGGTTTGACAATTTGGCCAAAGGGAACCTTCACCACCTCCCCTCCTCTACAAAGATGGGTCAACTACAGAGACCTAATGGCTTGTATGTTGCAATTTGTTGGAAGGCACCCCGAGAGGAACAGATTTAACAGGATCACAGTGGGTTCCAGACAGGTAGGGATTGGAGATACACTGGGATAGGGACACTTAACTAACAATCCTGGCACAAATACATACCTCCTGGCGCAAATAAACCAGACAACAAATATAACTGAACTCTGCTAGCAGCGAATGATGTTTGCAGCAGTTTTAACGTGGTCATCAACCCCACACCCCCCCCCCCCCCTTTTTTTTTTTACAGGTATACCTATAACTGCAATAGATCCCATACGTGGTAGGGACGGATAACTGCAATAAAACCCATACGTGGTAGGGACGGATAACTGCAATAGAACCCATACGTGGTAGGGACCGATACGAGACTATATACGACTATAGATTTCGTTGAGAATATCTTCTTCCTATGTCATCTCACTGATATTACTAGGTCATAGCTCAGTGTCGTAGTTTTTCTGTGTTTCAAATGCACTCTCTGGTGGCTAGGGTAATGTATTTGTTTACGCTTTTGCAAGTTTCAGCTACAACATTTACCCATCTCTTTCTTGGTCGTCCCCTTGGTTTCCTCTCAGAGCTTCTGCTGTACACAAATCTACTACGTAGTATTGAGAACATAAGCATGAAATAATTTTGTTGAAATGTCCGTGGTTGCAGGCGAGGGTAACCAGGGACTACGAGCCTGGAGGTCGCCGTCAGTGGAACACTGGGATCACGTCCATTTTTGCTGACGCTGTGAATCTGGCTCCTTTCAAAGACACGTTCTGGACCACGGAGAGTCAACCCGGCAACCCATACAGTAGGTGTTGCTTGTGTGTCTGTGAATGTATGTGTTTCTGAGTGTGGGTGTGTTGATAGGGCATTTCATTCTTGTACAATTTAGTAATGCCTGCATAATTATTTGTATCGTTCAAGACATACTTTCTTTTCCTTTATGTTATTTAACTGTTGTTGTTATTTGGGACGTAAACTTGAAGGTCTCTGTATGATTGACAAGCAGAAGAAACACAATAATATTGTTAATCCAAACATGGAATATTTATATCCTTGTGGAGGATGAGAAAAAGATGAAGAAGACAAAGAAGAAGAAAAAGAACAAGAAGAAGAAGATAAAGAAAAGAAGAGCAAAAATAAGAAGAAGGAGGAGGAGGAGTAAAAGATGCTGATGATGAAGAAAAAGAAGAAACAGAAAGTAAGAAAGTGAGAAAGAAAGAAAGCAGAAAATAAAGCTGAATAGAAAAAAGAAAGAAAGAAAAGACTACGAAGAAGAGCGAAAAGTAAGGGGAAAAAAGAGCAAGAAGAATACTATGACGAGAACACGATAGACAAGTTCCACATAATACACAGAAATGTTATAGTGATAAGCTTAAGTGACATGCTATCTTAGAAGTTTTGGAAGGAAGACGGGGCCAAAATTGTATGAGTTGTGATAGTTAAAATAATGACTGGTGGTGTTCATCTTTCCATGTATAGGGCTACTATCTGCGTAACGCTATGCAGCCTTGGCTAGTAATGTGTTCAGCATTATTTTCGCTCTTTAAGTCTTCCAAAGTGTTTGGATCAGCCTGAAATACATTCTCATACATCAAAGATCAAACACACATAAACAATTTTAAGAAACAATGACCATACAAATATAAGTAATTTATAAGTATATTAATATAAGAACTTGTTTTTTTTTTTAATCTAACTCTTGTTGGAACTTTTTAGGTTTTGTCAGACGACCATGTTATGTTGTGCTACGATAGGCATGAGATTCAAAGACTATGGCGATGGCGTATATGATTGGCTTAAACTCCACCCCCCCCCCCCCCCCCCCCCCCCCCCCCCCCCCCCACGCTCCCCTCCCTCTATCCCATTGTTCCTGGCCATAGCACAAAGCCTGGGCAGTACTGTAGAGACCATATGTTGCCCACACAACATTTTCCGCCCCCTCCCCTCCTTCTTTTTTTTCCATCTGCCTTTTTTACCTCAAAGGAAATGTAACACCTTTAAATTTGAAACAAAGCAGACTGCAGAAGCTGCCGGATCAGAAGAGTAGTCCTCTGTCTATCCGTCTATTGGAGCTTCTCTCTAGGTCAGCTGCCAGTCAACGTTAAAGGCCTTGTTTGCACTGCCACAACAAAGTTATCAGGTTGCATTTCCTCTTTCTAGGATAAGGCTAGTATTCTCCCTAATGCTCTTCCCTGCCCGAATCTGGCAGTCATCACCCCATAAACGCTATAGATATGAACACTGAAAGCTGTAATGTCACATCGGGTATGAAACCCCACACTCTAGCAGTTTTTATAAGGAGTAGAAAATTATAGGGAAGAGAAAAAGTTGGTAAGAAACAACAATTAGTTTATGTTAGCTTTACAAAATCGATCACAATAAACAAACAAAGGACGTTGCGGCGATTAGCCTTCATCAGCACATAAAGGACAACACAGTACACATACACAAATAGGCTCTAACTATGAAGTGACTACATAGGACTCTAATGTATAAAATTAACGATACTCATCTAGTGTCCCTGGCGAAAAATCTTCGTTCAAATGAAACGACGGTCAGCCTATATACCTCCAACGCGCAGGTAGGGGCAAAAAAAGGGGACGGGCTGGACGCCAACAGCGTACACTAAGTGTCAAAGGAGGGAGGGAGGGGTTGGCCTACAGGGCGTAACCGGGGTTGGGTTGTGGGGGTGACCTTAGTCCATCCGCGTGGAATAAAAGTGGTGCCTGTGCTTGCAAACAAATATCGACAGACAGACAGCTAGATAGATAGATAGATAGATAGATAGATAGATAGATAGATAGATAGATAGATAGATAGATAGATAGATAGATAGATAGATAGATAGATAGATAGATAGATAGATAGATAGATAGATAGATAGATAGATAGATAGATAGATAGATAGATAGATAGATAGATAGATAGATAGATAGATAGATAGATAGATAGATAGATAGATAGATAGATAGATCAGTCCACTGTTTTCGTTGCGTCTCATTTCAGATAGAACAGAACCAAACACACGTATGGAAGCAATACTGGCCACACTCAGTACAGGACCAGTGGGACCAGGGGACGGCATTGGTTACATCAACAAGACCTTGCTCATGAAGTAAGAGACATAATAGTGCTCTCTGTGTTGAACCGATTCATTCGTTAAATCAATAAGTACATTTTATACTATAAATCCTTGTCACTAGAGGTAAGACAACGAACTCAAATGGTTTGAGGTTTGAACAACGGATAAAAATCATGGCACAGTGGTAGTAACCCATAAGTGTTCCGTTCTACTTCTTTCTCAAGTCTAAGTCCGAAGAAGCTCAACGCAGTGCACGGGCTACGTAGCACCGGCGAGGATCCTGAAATATTTTGTGTAGATTTTTAGCTCCAAATTTTGACCGGGCAGCGCCGTTAAGCTACTCTTTTCGACTTTAAACTGCCAGGGGATTTTATTACATGTGCGACAATACATTCGGGCGTCAAATCTCACTACCCAGAGACCAGTGGAAATTACTAGAAGTGCACGTGAACATTATAATATTCCAACCTTCACCGGATCTTGAACCCGGGATCTCTAGCACTAGAGGCGGACACCATACATCAAGACCACGTAGGAAAAGAATTATCGCATACTATAAAGAGCCAAGTTTAACAAATGGCGGTGAATTCTGGACAATAGATAAACAAGCCACACATTTTACTTTCGGCCTGAAGATGTGGTTTTAAGCTAGAATGCTGAACATTTCTCAGACGGCCAAAAAGAGCGACCTAGATGTTTTGAAAGATGCAAAGGCTTGAAGACATCTTATCACAAACACCAGAAAGAGGCAGTCAGTATTTTGGGGGTCTTGTTATCAGAGAAAGGAATCTGGAACTTGTGCCCATTGTAAAGATTTGTGAACAACGAAGATTCTTGACAGCCTTTGGTCATGGCATGGAGGGGGTCAGAACACGCTGAACATTCTGGTTGTTCGTCTACCACTGGACATTAGTCTTGATCCAGAACCTGGGTTTTGCGTACACATCCATTTTACAAATCTGCCTTATTAGTAACGCAGATGCACTCCGACTTCGAAAAAAAGCTAGCTCCCAATTAGTCGGCTCTTAAGTGCTGTGATGTCGGTTCTTAAATCAATTTAACTCTTTGAGCACCTTAGAGCTCTGCATGCAATGACTCTATAAATGCTCCGAAAGCAGCGGCGAACTAAAGTTAGTCGCACATCCTTTACAGGACATTGCAGAACCAACCTTAGCATGTTTTGGCTGTTGTATTTTTTCTAGGCATATTGTGCGTTCAGTAGTTAGCTATTGCTTACAGACCGGTAAGCTCTAGGTGCCACTGTCGAAGGCTGACCGTTCAGTGGCAAACTGATCGATTGATCGGCACCTTTCCGTCTATCCAGTCGATACTGATCGATTGATCGGCACCTTTCCGTCTATCCAGTCGATAATGTTATTTTGCGTTATGAGGAGACATGAGACTCATAGCCCAGTGCGATAGCGAGTGTGACTAGCAAAACCCGCCTGTGTCAAGAAAAGTCTTCTACAATGATAGCATTGGATTTCAGGCCATTATTTTCAACATTTGTGTTAATCCATTTCTTTTCAAACGCTCAGCTCTCATCATTTCTGCAATCATTTCTTCCGATACTCTCATTGCATTCCTGATACGCCCTTTCCGCACAACACGGTCCGTGGCATTTTGTTTCCATGAGTCCACCTCAATACCTGTATCATTCATGTCCCGCTTGCAGTGGCAAAGTGGTTAGATTCGTATCCTTTACATGACGTTGCAGAACTAACCCCAACAGCACCTGGCTGTTGTGTGGTTTTTCTTGGTAAATTTACGTCCAGTAGTTTGCCATTGCTTTTTGGACGGTCGGCTTTCTTAATACCACTGTCGAAACCAACGCAAGGCGCATGGCCCGCAGCTTATATCGAACCCGGCATGCCGGCATTACGAAGCGTTCGCATCGACTTAGCCACAAAGCCGACGGTGGCAAACTACTAAACTTAAAATTACCTAGTAAAACCAAACATCCTAATAATGCTGCGGTAGATTCTGCAAAGTCGTGTACAGGATCCGCAACTAACTTTCACTATCATCAAGTGATCATCAAGTCATCATCCAAGCCGACTGGCGTCGGCGATCATGCCTCTCCACAATCTGCGATCTGCAGCTGTGTCAGTTCGTGTGTTGACACTCCTCAATGACATCCAAAAAAAAAAAAAAAGGCTGCCAAGAATCTTCTCCAGCTGTCTTCCTCTGTCTCTCTGTCCACAAACATGTCCAGTGGTCACATCATGTCCATTGTTCCTCTTCTCATAACATGACCAAATAGTGATTACTGTCTCTTTCGGATGTTTGTGATAAGTTGTTCCGAGCATTCGCCTATTTTAAAACATCTGGGCTGCTCTTCTTAGCTGTCCAATGAATTTTAAGGATTATTCTATAAAACCACATCTCCGAGGCCTCAAGATATTGTTCATTTAACTTTCCAAATAAAGTTACCTATAGTAAAATCTCATAATATGAATTCTCCTAAGACAAACATCCGGTTAACCGCAACAACATTTTGGTCCCAGGATAGATATATTATTCATGACAGTGTATTCAGTCCTGCGTCCTGGATAAGAAGTATTACAGTGAGTTATAATGGCTACAGTGTTCTGAGTTTATTTTCTTCAACAGCACATACAGTATCTGGTTGTTCTTTCTGACTTCCAATTTTTGCTATGAAGTCTGCTTTCAGTACAACAGTACAATGTAACGGTACAAAACCGGAATAATGCAATGGAAATTATACAGCCTATTGATGAACAGTGGGATATGTTGCGTGAGTCAATTCAGCAGACATCAAAAGAGACAACCCATACAGTTGCAAAAAAGAAATGGATGTCAACCGAAATTCTGCAGTTGATGGATGAAAGAAGGCAGAAAAAGAATGATAAAGAAGAATACTCTAGAATACAAAAAGAAATAGTGAACAAATGCAAAGTGGCTAAAGAGGCCTGGCTAAATCAAATGTGTACAGAGATTGGGGAAAATCACAGGAAAGACTCACATTCCATGTACCAACAGATAAATATGTTAACAGGAAAGATGACAAGTAACAGCACTGGATGTTTAAAATCAAAAGATGGTGACTTAATAATGTTACATAGTAATATAATTAACATATGGACAGAGTATATGGGGGAATTGTATGATGATAATAGACCAGATGTAGAACTGCAGACCAACAATGATGGTCCACCAATAATGACTGCAGAAGTTGAGGATGCAATACATCATATGAAGAAAGGAAAAGCACCCGGGCCAGACAACATCTCACTGGAAGAAACCGAAGCTCTTTAGGATTTTGGAATTGAAATAATAACTAAACTTTCAAATGATATTTATAATAGTGGGTATATTCCAAATGACCTTTTAAAATCCATATTTATAGCTCTGCCAAAGAAAACAGGCACTTTAAAATGTGAAGACCATCGCACAGTAAGTCTTATGAGTCACATGACTAAAATGTTACTGAGAATATTTATGAGAAGAATAAGAAACACAATTAAACCAGAAATAAGCGATGAACAATGTGGATTTGTAGAAGGAAAAGGTACAACCAATGCCATTTACATCCTAAGGACTTTGTCAGAAAGAGCTATAGAAGTAAAGACTGATTTGAACTTATGCTTCATAGACTATACAAAAGCATTTGACTGTGTGAAGCATGAAGAAGTAATCAAACTGTTAGAAAAATTAAATATTGATGGAAAAGATCCAAGAATAATAAAGAATATTTATTGGCAGCAAACAGCAGCTATAAGAATAAACAACTGTTTAGGTACATTTCAAAGCATAAAGAGGGGCGTACGACAAGGATGTGTACTGTCACCTGATTTGTTTTCAATATACAGTGAATATATAATGCGATCTTTAATTGATATGCCCGGAATTGTGGTTGGTGGGCACAATATAAACAATTTACGTTATGCTGATGACACAGTCTTGATAGCAACAAGTCAGAAAGAATTACGGGAAATGATAGACATTGTGGTGTTAGAAAGTGGAAGAATGGGCCTCAGTTTAAATAATGGGAAGACATAAGTAATGGTGGTATCAAAGAAACAAATTATTCCTAAACGTGTAATAAAAGTCAATGGTGTTATTTTAGGACAAGTACAGAAATTTAAGTATCTGGGCACATGGATAACATCAGATGGAAGATGCATAACTGAAATAAGAAACATAATTGGACAGGCAAAAACTGCATGTTATAAAATGAAAAACATCTTGTGCAATATATCCTTGTCAATGAGAGTTAGAAAAAGAATTCTTGCTTGCTACATACATCCAGTTTTAACCTATGGATGTGAATCCTGGACAATCGGTAGGCAGGCCAAACAATTTTTAGAGGCCTCAGAGATGTGGTTTTACAGAAGAATGCTTAGTATACCTTAGACAGCCAAAAAGACCAACCAAGAGGTTTTGAAAGAGGCGGGAGCCCGAAGACAACTTATCACAGAAATCAGAAGGAGACAGTCAATATTTTTCGGCCATGTTATGAGAAGAGGGAAAAAAGAACATGTTGTGACCACTGGAAAGATCTGTGGAAAAAGGGATAGAGGAAGACAACAAGAGAAGTTGCTTGACAGTCTTGTTGCATTGCATGGAGGTGTGTCGGCTACCGAACTGATACATGCTGCAGGAGATAGCAGATTATGGATAGGCATGATCGCCCACGCCAGTCGGCCAGGTACCTGATGATGATGAGTCTGCTTTCACTAAACAAGCTAAACAGTGCAGAAATGCCTTTGAAAACAAATGTTATAGACGAATTCTAAGAATATCGTGACTACTGACTGACTGACTGACTGAGTCTGATTTTTAAAATGAAACAAGCAGCAGTCTAGTATACATATATAAAAGTCTGCATAAGTACATATTTCAAATACAATTAACAAATAATTATTTCTCCTGATTTTTGCTTAACAAAGGTGTTGTGATGCAACTGGTCGAATCCTGAAGCCAGACAAGCCGGTGAAAGCGATTGATGATCAAATTAAAATGGTATGTGAATGGTAATTACGATGTCATGAACTCCTTGTAGACTTAGTGATTATTAGTATATTTTAAATTTTTAAAATTCTCCTATAAAAGGCAAACATTTAAATAGAATTTACTAAGGACATTTGAAAACATTTTCTGGACAAAGTCTATGTATTTATCTACAAGTGCAAATTGATTATTAGATGCCTCAAACTGTTCTGAGTGAAGATGTACGAAAGAGAAGAAAAAGAAGAGAAACAAAATGAAATTGTTGTAGCAGTTGCAGCAGCAGTAATAGTAGCAGCTGTAAAAAGAAACTCCACAGGGGAGCATGTACATAGTGGTGGTGGCAGTGGTGGTGGTGGTAGCGGCGGCGTCGGCAGCAGGCGGCGGCAGCAGCAGAAAAGGAAACAGAAGAACAACAACATCTGGGGTGGGTGGGAAAGGGGGTGGAGGGGGGGGGGGCGTTGCTTCAGTGTTGTGTGCCGATTCTGTGTTGACCGAGGACAGGGGTCGTTGACCAGGGAAGTAACAAATTGTCAACGCGATCAAAGTCAACATTTCCACCGAGATAGAGCAAGGCAAGTCTTGCAAGACTTTGAGGCACACAGCTATGAAGGAGCACAGCAGTCACGGGAACAATGCGTGCGTCTCGGTGGGATGGAAATGCACGTACGGCTTCAGTAGGGTATATACTTGAGCAAGTCTCGAGAATTAACTCTTTGAGTCCCAAGGAACACATTATACGTTCATAGGTTACTGCCTAGAAGCCCAATTAACGCATGATGCGCCGATTTTACATCTCTCTTGACTACCCCTTGGGCCTGTAATGCTAAACCCTTTGGGACTCAAAGAGTTAAGCAGAGTTGGAGATAGAGAGCTGAGAAGAGTGCAAGGAGATTGTTTTGCTGTGCAGACGACTAGGCTCGTGCATGTGTAACGTGAGCAATGATTCTACAGGAGGCAGGAGTGTTCCTGGTTGGTGTCTGGTCATCGACTGTGTATCGATGAGACTCAGTGATTGAGAGTCTGACCAGTTCACCAAAAATTCCTCAACGTTGACTGACTTACGGCTGTGTGCCTATCACTTGAACTTAGTGTTGAAGAAGTTCCAGTCAGTCGAAAATGGACGTGCCTGATTATTGTGTTAGATTAATCTTGGCCCAGCTTGTAAGAGTATTGAAGTGTGCTCATTCTTACCACCACCCCGAAGCAGAGAAGCGCAAAAGCCCGAAAGTGAGGATCGTCACTGAGAGGAGCCGTAGGTTGTGGAGCGCCGCTAGAAACTGCTTTGGGAAGAGGGAGCATAAGGTGTAGTTATTGATAGCCGTTATGTTCACATGACAGTGGTTTGTTTCGTAACTAGCCTTTGTGTGTAAGCGTGTTGGTGGACATACTCGTGTAGTGAATAAATACTTGTGACGTTGAACTGCTGTTGTGTTCTTGAGAACTGTGTCATTTTGTGAACGAAAATGATAACTTGGACACTTGCTATGTGTGCTAGATGCTTCCACCCTAATTAGAGCACAAAAGTGCGTAGGAAGAATAAGAAGCAGACTATGAAGAAAACAAATAAGTAGACGCAGAGGCACACAAAAAAAAATAGAAGAAGCAGAAAAAGCAGACTGGAAGAAAAAGAAAAAGAAGAAGAAGAAGAAGAAGAAGAAGAAGAAGAAGAAGAAGAAGAAGAAGAAGAAGAAGAAGAAGAAGAAGAAGAAGAAGAAGAAGAAGAAGAAGAAGAAGAAGAAGAAGAAGAAAAAAAAAGAAGAAGAAGAAGAAGAAGAAGAAGATGAAGAAGAAGAAGAACTTTAAACATGCTAATTGTATGCTTTGAGAACGTTTTTGTATGCTTTGAGAACGTGTCTATTGTGTCGTATTCAGCAAATAAGCATAATTAAAAAGAAAACTAGCTTTCCGTTTACACTATAAGTACTTTATTATAATGACAGGATTATTAACTTTTTGCGTCCTAAATTTCAACAATATACACAAAACGTTTACTTAGTTACAGATGTTTAAAGCTGAACACGATTTTGGAACTGACTATAGAGTAACTAGCATTATCTTTACTGTATCTCTCACAGGCTGCCTTTAAGTCGCCGTACCCAGGACCTATTGGAGAAGTGTACACATCTTACACTAGGATATCCGGGTTCTTCTTCGGCATCATTGTCGTCCCAGAACTGAACAACAGTTACTCACTGACGCCAGCCGCTGCTTGGCCCATTATTGAAGTTAGTACGCCGTTTCTGTTTATTGGCTGTCTGTTTCTTCTGCCTTTCTAGTCCCCAATGGAGCATAGGCCTTCAACCAACTCACGCCAAGTCATTGTATCCGTTGCTATCGCATGCAGCTCTCTCCATGTCCTCCCAATCTTTCTAGCTTCATTTTCGGCCTTTCTTTATTCCTATGCCCATATGGGTCCCAATGCAAAGACATTTTAGTTACATTGTTTCCAGGTTTTCTCAATGTGTGTCCTATCCAACGCATCATATTTTCTTTACTTCCTGGTCCACTGGAGCTTGCTTGGCTCACTCCAGAAGCTCTTTATTATTGATTATATCATACCATTTACTTCCATCTGTTCTGCTCAGGCACCAGTTAATAAATGTCTGTAGTTTATTAGTAACTGCTTTAGTTGTACTCCATGTTTCCGCCCCCCCCCCCCCCACAAAAGTAATGATTTGACATTGGATTAAATGTGTTTTTTTTTTCCTTGGCTGTATATCTTAAAAACGATGGCCTCCCTATTTTTGTAACCACAGTCTGTGGAGTTAATGCAACATATTCTGCTATAATGTGTCTTTTCCCCCTCCACTGTTTTCCACAACTCCATTTCGAGTGGATTCTACTGGCTCAATTGCTAACAATATTCGGATGAAGTAGCTACGGATCAGAAAATGACATCATGAATCTCTGCCACTGTAAAGGAAAACATGCTCTACCCAAAATGCTATTTCTTCAATATTAAATACAAGTTAAGATCAACTGCTAAAGAAAACCGTTATGTAGCAGTGATTTTCTATACTAATGGTTACATGGCGCTTGAAACATGACGTTATGCACAAATGTAATTACGGTGAGTAAATAATTAATTTTTAAAAGTCTACAGTTATTAAACATACACCCTTTCCAAGTTATTCGTTATAGATATGTACAGGTTAAGTTTGACAAGGAAGGTTTGAAGAAGCTGGACATGTCGGCTGAAAGCTCTATTATAGTAGTCGTGCTGTTTACGGGCACAGTGCATGTACGTCTTCAGATGAACACAGAAGAAGAAGTATTCATATCAATGGGAACGTGGATACACTATTGGTTTAATTGTGATAAAAGATAACATCGGATTCAGTAGAATAATTTTTGGCATGATGATAAGGAAGATATGTGTATGTATATGCATAGGTGTATGCATGCATTTCCCTGTGCATACATGATCATCCACGCAAATCAACATGTCACTTTTTTTGGATGACTGATTCTATCACAACAGCAGCAACAACAACAACAACAACCACTGTTGCTGCTGTTACTGCTGCTGCTACTACTACTACGACTACTACTACTACCACCACCACCACCACTACTACTACAACTACCACTACTGCCACCACTTCTACTACCACTACCACTACTACCACCACCACCACCACCTCTGCAACTACTACCACTACCACCACCACCACTATTACTACAGCTACCACTACCACCACCACCACCGCCACTACTACTACTAACACTACTACCACCACCATAACTACCCTCTACCCCCACCGGCACAACTACCACCACTACCCACCACTTGACGCTGTCAAACGACAAATCTAGAATGTCTCTGTCTCTGTTCTAGTCTATGGTTAAATGATGCTTCCATTTTGAAATAAAATCTTCCTATCTAGCCTTGCTGTTTAAACTTTCGTTAATAAGGTTTCGCCTAACTATGTTAATCCTTTTTTGTTTGCTAGCTTTATACTAGCACGGCCACTATGACCATCACCAACACTATTGTACTATTATTGCTGATTTTACTATAACTATCGTCAATACTTCTTTAAAAATATAGGTCTAGCCCTATATGCCCTATACGCAAAAAGGCGTGGAAAGGGGTCCTTTACATTTTACTTTACTTATCGACATTACTGCAGCTACTTCTGCTGCTGCTACACTTCCTCCTACTACTGCTACTACTACTGCTGCGGGTACTACCACTATACTACTACTACTACTAATACTACTACTACTTCTCTACTACTACCACTCTTATACTAGTACTACTACTCTACTGCTACCTCCACTACTACTACTAAACTACTACTGCTACTAATACTACTCTACTACTACTACTGCTGCTGCTGCTGTTGCTTCTGCTACTACTTCTCACCTTCTACTCTACTACTTCTACCACTCTACTACTACTACTACTACTACTACTACTACTACTACTACTACTACTACTACTACTACTACTACTACTACTACTACTACTACTGCTGCTACTACCACCACCACACTACTACTACTACTACTGCTGCTGCTACTCTACTACTCGTCTACAACTACCACTTTACTACTACTACTCTAGTACTACTACTACTACCACCACCACCATCACCACTCTCCTCTTTTATCTTTGTTAATGACGTTGTTAACACTTTTACATTTATAATATTGAAGTCTTCATTTCGTTGATAAGAAACTTATTATGGGATTCAAGTATTGTCTCTCCATGCTGTCACATTACAGTTGTTTTCATCAACACAATTTAAATATATATAGTATTCAAATATTGTCTCTCCATGTTGTCACATTACACTTGTTTTCATCAACATCATTTCGTAGTTTCCCACCAGTTTGGCCTTTTCCGAGAATGACCCCAAGACACTCTTCAACTTTTCCAACACGACGCCACTTAAACTGGGGAAAGAATGCACAGTTACAAATGCTTGCCTCTTCTACACCAGTCCATTGATACAGTTGAGCTCTGGGTAAGTTTCACATTTCTTCCCACAACTTTGCCAGCCTGTTTATAGAGCTATCAAGAAAAGAGATCACATGAAATGAAACTATCACTAGTAAGCTTCGCACTGTCACAAGCACAAACAACAAATGAACACTAGGGTTAGAGAATCTTTATCAGCACATTACATTGATTTAAAATACAAAAAACACAAAGATTAATATGCAGATTCAAAGGCAGATGGCGTCCGTGGCTAAGGCGTTGCGAGTCCGACTCGTGAGCCAGCATACCGCGATCGAAACCCACTGCAGGCTGCGTGGATATTTGTCGTGGTATGGGACGTCGCAGGTCGACCCAGCCTAAAATGGGTACCAGGATGGGCTGTCCTGGGAAAGTAAAGACAGCCGGCGTAATGCTGACCACATTACCCACAGAGTGCTGATGGTCTGTAAAAAATATGGGACGCTCTGCCCATATGCCCGATGCGCCGAAAGGCGTGAAAAGGGATCTTTACTTTTTTTTTTTTTTACTTAAAAGGCAGATGTAAAAGAAAGAAATAACTAAAACAGTGCTATTAAAATTTGGAACACCTCATAAACTCGGGCCCAACGGGGTCAGCTCCGCCCATTTACACACTACACAACTTTTCATTCTTAGCTGGTTGGGCAGGTCGACACTGGTCAAGATAGAGGAGTGTGCCGGTGTACTTCTGTATTCACACAACTTTCTGGGTTACCTGTTAATGCTTATTCTGGGAATAGCTGCCGCCGAAATTGCGTACTGACTCGTACCCCGTATTAGTGTTTGTTGGTGGGTATAATGCAGACGTCTAGAATTTTGCGTAGGGAATGCGTTTATTGCAGAGGGTAGAGTTCCGTGTGTGCAGCAAGACAGCTTTTTGCATGCCTCCAAAAAATGTTCAGAAGTCTGAAACCACGGCACGTAGAATGGTAGAACTAGGTTCAGTGTGTCGAAAAGGTTTCTTTTTTTTTTGGGGGGGGGGGGGGGGGGGGGGGGGCGTGGTTTGTGTCAGTTGTACATGTTATGTGGTCGTTAACGGCGCTTAAAACCTCTAATATAGAGCAAGCATAAAAAGGCAGACGTGAATAAGGCCTTATGCAAGCTCTTGTACAATTTGAAACTACACGTGGATAATCACAGTCTGTTGAGAGTGATGAAGCAAGGAATGACGAACAGATCTGTCCGATACTCGACACTCATAGGAAAGGTAAGACGGACATGTAATCAGACAGCTGCTGGCAACATTGGTTCTGATACTCTACATTGGCTGCTGAAGATGAGGACTTGGCACTTATGGGAATTCCTAGAGTGCTGTGGTGAAGGTTCTCGAATCGAATCAAGTTTTGTTCAAATCTTTTTTTTAGAGAAAGTACTATTTTTTATGGGTGATTTGGAGACGTGAGAAAACATATATTATCGTCATCGTTTGTTGTAGAGAAACTACATTTTTGATAGAAGAGTTGGAGCTGTGAGAGAACGTGTATTATCGTCTTGGCTTATTGTCGAGAAAATACCGTTCGATAGGAGAGTTGGAGGCGTGAGAGAACGTATATTATCGAATTAGCTTGTAGTGCAGAAATGAATATTTGATGCGAGAGTTGGAGACGTGAGAATCCCTATGTTATCTTCTGTACTTGTTGTAGAGTACTAATCTGATGTCTAAGTTGGCAAATTGAAATGACTGAACTTCTTGTGTTATTTTAGAGACACCATTGTTTTGTTGGGAGAGCTTGAGAAGTGGGTCCCAATATCCGGGAAACGAGTCAACAGCATTCAGCAGACAGACGGGGATGTTTTGGTTCATGTCCTGGTCCAGGCGCAAGAATCTGTGACCTTCACCTACTACTCAGTTACCAGGAACCAGCTGAAGACAGTCCTGTGTGACAACAGCAAGAGTTGGTCACCTGCAGAGAATTCAGTTATTAGTCTTGTGTCCGGTATTTGTACTCTAGGTTAGATATATGTTGGCTAAAAGAAATGAACGTCTTTATTAAAAAAAAAAAAAAAGGGCAAAATATGAACAAGAAGATTAAACTCATCGACATCTTTCATAATTTGCAAATCCGGGAGAAACGGCCAATAAACAGCATCCTGCCCCGAAAATCAAAGTGTTTTGGCTGAATTAATAGTCCGGGTAGCTTGGGGAGCACGACGGTGGAAGGCGAGTTACCGGAAAAAACGATGCAGCGACCTCCGCGAAATTGGATGCAAAACATTAAAGATGCATTGGCTATCAAAGCACATAGGGCTGGAGAATTAACTAGAGGAAGAAGGACTCTGGTTGTGTCGAGAAGAGAATGATGCTCTGTGAATGACGCAGCAGATACAAACTAATTCTGAAAGTGACACATTTTTTATCTAAGATACAGTTATATGGTAAACGCACAGAAACTTAACACTATTTTAATTTTCGTCTTCTTCAGCATTCCGAGCCCTTGAGGTTCATTGCTGCAGATATCACCTGCTTCTATTCATCCTCTAGCGGTGTTTGTGCATGTTTAGGTATATGTGCACGTCCGTGTGCCCATGCCTTTTACCATCCATGCTTGTGTGTATGTTTTCCCTGACATTCACAATATGCATAGTATTGAATAAAAAATAACATGCTTTATTGATAAAATGCAACTCCCGTATGAAAGACGGCTGTTTGAAAGGGCAAATTTAAGACAGACCTACATGTCCAATTTGTGATACTTTGTAGAAAAAAAAAAGCGCGTTTATTTGTTCATTCTCTGGTTGGTCTTTTCTTTTCAGTTTGTAAAACCAAGTGTTTGTAAATCCTAGATACTGTCTCTCACAGATCTTCTTGGTCTGCCTCGTAGTCCACGACCATTCTGCTCGCTTATGTATACAGTTTTTACCTCTGTATCATCTTGCACGGTCTCAGTATGGCCCCATCCATGCCATTATTTTTGCCCGCATACCTGTGATGCCAGCGATCAAAGCTGTTTAAACAGATTATAAATTGTTTTGTTGTATCTAGCTTTCCATTCACCGCTGTCTGCATCTTTGATGTGTCTAAAAATTCATCGTAAGATTGTTTCGAAAATGTGTATTAAGGCTTCATCTCTTTTATCTGTGCTATAAGTTTGAGTATCACATGGTTTATACATTTTTCTGATCTTTGTTTTGCAAGATAGAGACTTTGACCTTTGAAAAGCATAGCATACTTCTTTTCTCCAGATTGTATTCTAAATTGTATTTCATCTTTCAACATGTTAGAGCAGTTGAAGTTTCATCCTACTACTTGTATTCTTCTGTTCGTTTGATTTTCAAATATCGACTTGTATGTGGCCGGAGTTTATAGCCTTTCTTGTTATTATCATATATTCTGTCTAATCTTGATTGATAACTAGTCCCATTTTGTGAGCTGCTTCTTTTAAGAGTTTTTACGGTCTCGAGTTCATTTTCTTCAACGATATCAATGTCACCTGCATAACTAAGTATTTTTGTAGTTTCTCATTTAGTACACTCTTCTTTCAGTTTCCTTGTAGTTTTCTGTTATTGGAAAAGCTAAACATTGATGGAAAACAATTTGCCATTTAAAAAAAATATATATATATTTATTGGCAGCAAACATAAGCTATAAGAATCAATAACAATTTGGAAATATTTCAGAGCATAAAGAGGGCAGTAAGACCAGAATGTGTACTATCACCTGATTTGTTTTCATTATACAGTGAAAAATAATTAGATCTATTATGGATATGCCAGAAATTGTGGTTGGGGATCATAACATAAACAATCTGTGTTATATTAATGATACCATCTTGATAGCGAGGTGTCCAAAGGAACTTTGGAAATTGATAGATACGGTGGTGGCCAAAAAAAAAAAAAAAAATGAGCCGCAGTTTGAATAATGGAAATACAGAAGTAATGGTGATTTCCAAGAAAAGAAGATTACCTAAATGTATAATAAACGTCAGATGTTATTTTGGGACAAGTACAAAATTTAGGTATCAAGGCACATGGATTGCATCCGATGGAAGATGCATCACAGAGATAAAAAAAAAACCAGAATAGGACAAGCCAAAACGGCATTTTTTTTTTCAAATCAAGAACATTTTATGCAAAAAATCCATTTAATCTGAGATTAGAAAATGGTTTCACATATGCTATATACACCCAGTTGTAACATACGGCTGTGAAGCTTGGACAATTAATAAACAAGCTGAAAAATATATTGAGGCCTCAGAGATGTGGTTTTATAGAAACATCTTTAGAATTCCTTGGACAGCTAAGAGCAAAACAAATGTTTTGAAAAACACAAGGACACGGAGACTACTTAAAACAAACTTCAGAAAAAGACATTCATCATTTTTTGGTTATGTTATGCGAAAAGAAAAAAATGGAAAATGTTGTGACCACTGGAAAGATTTGTGGAAAGAGAGGCAGAGGAAGACAGCGGGAGAAAATTCTTGACATTTTTTTGTCACAGTATAGAGGAGTGTCAATATATGAGCTGATACTTGCAGCTGGGGATCAACGATTGTAGAGAGGCATGATTGCCCACTCAAGTCGGCAAGGCACGTGATGATGATGATGATAGTTTTATCCAAGGCAAAGACAAAAATAAGTGGGGAAATAGCATCACCTTGCTTTAAACCAGATGTTATTTGAAAATTATCTGACTTTCTGCTTTTATGCATTACTATGTTACAAGTGTCCTCCAAACACAGTTAACTTTCATCAACTTTTTTGGTATTCCAAACTCCTTCATAGCAATCCATAAACTGTTTCTATGTACACTGTAATACGCCTTTTTAAAATCCACAAAAACAATATGTACATCTCGTCTATATTCCCAATTTTGCTCAGCTATTTGCCGCAAAATGAAAATCTGATCTATTGTTGATTTCTTGTGTCGGAGACCCACTTGGTAATCACTCAATATATCTTGACGTATGGTTTTAACCGTCTTTGCAATCCAGCGACATTATCGTACAGCATGTAGACAATAGTGATGTTCCTCTACAATTTCATATTTAAAATGGGTAATAATAATGACTCTTTCTCTTCGTGAGTAATTTTCTGTCTTCCAATCTAGTTTAAATAATTTATATGCCTCTGAATGTTATAATGACCACCTTGTTTTAAAAGTTCAACAGCAACTCCATCAGCACCAATCGCTTTATTGCATTTGAGCCGTATTACGTTATATAGTACTTCTTTAAAATCAGGCTTTTGTATTTCTTTCTGTGAATGAGTATTTAGTGAAGTTTCACTATTTATTCAGCGAAGCATTTCTTCCATCTGTTACATATTTCCTCCATAATATTTATCATTATTTATCCAAACTAGGCAGCCGGTGTAAGGTAACTATGCAATGGATACCATCTCAACTGGGGAGTTCCTGAAAATGAAAGAGCTGATAAACTAGCTAAGGAAGGTACAAATGAAGAACACTCTGACGTACTGGTCTGCTATTAACAAAAAAGGATAACAATCAAATGTTTTCTTCATTTCGTAAGTTACTAGCATCATTTAGCCACATCTGTGGGGCATATTTGTTCACACTGATTTCTTCTTCAAATTTGTTATCGAAAAATAGTTGGTTTTTTTTTCTGTTTATGGTGGACACACCAAGACTTTCTTCTGCAGTGGTTTGAATTATATTATTTATATCCATCCATTTTTGGCCAACGTCTTCTGCCCACGGATTTGGTAAAATGTCAATTTTACGATTTACTTCATCTACAAATTTCTCTAAAATTGACGTTTCATGTAATCTTTCCCTATTGTACTCCGGATGTGATCTTGAGAGCTTTTTGTAGAAGGATGTCTCAAGCTTGATTTTTTAATTTTGCACCAACCACGTAATGGTCCGTAATTAGTGAACCACATTACCCAGCTAATGCCGATTGGTCTGTAAAAATATGGTTGCTCTTCCCATTAGCCGACTGCGAATAAGGCGTAAAAAATTATCTTTACTTACTTACTTTGCTTACATAATGTAAGTCACGATAACATTCAACTCCTTTAGCTTCTTACTTGTTGTATGTTCGGTACATTTCTATTATTTATTAAATTCTAGTCTTTTTGATATCACCTTGTCACGTGATTGGCAGGTTTGTTTATGTATATCTTTTCTTTCAAATGTGCTGCTGCTTCTGTTTGCTACAGTGAGGTTGATTAATGTTTATCTATTATCGTCCAAATTTGTAGGTAGGCTTTCATTGCTTGATACATTGTTATAGGTTTGTTCTCTTCTTATCTTTGAGTTTCCTCTTTGATATTCCCAAGGAGGTCATAGAAATCGTTTTTAATATCATCTTCTTTATCTTCAGTGAGTAAGTAAAAAAAAAAGTAAAGATCCCTTTACACGCCCTTATGCGAATCGGGCATATGGGAAGAGCACCCATATTTTTACAGACCACTCGGCACTCGGTGGGTAATGTGGTCAGCATTACGCCAGCCGTCTTTACTTTCCCAGGAAAGCCCATCCTGGTACCCATTTGAGGCTGGGTCGACCTGCGACGTCCCATACCACGATAAAAATCCACGCAGATATTGTGAGTGCATGCACATTATTCGTCGTGATATTTTCCCGTTTATTCATAACTTACTGATCTTTTCATTAACAGCTTCAAAATGTATCATACTTTCTCACATCATTTTCTTGATGACCAGTCTTGTCCCTTGTTCATGTTTGTTTTGACTGTTTCCTCTATACACTATGAGCATTCTATATCCCTATATAGTACCTTGTCCTGGCCACCCTATTTCTTAAATCGCTGTTATATCCATTTTGTGTGCAGAGCGAAGCAGACGTTAGAACACGTTCTGTCCGCATGCAGGAAAGCCCTATGTCAAGGCCGATATACCTGGCGCCACAACAAGGTGCTAAAAGAGTTGGCAGCCGTTGTGGACAAGGCTAGGATGAGGGCCAACCCGAGGGCCAGTCCTACCATCGTCCCTATACGCTTCCTCAAGGCTGTGCAGATTCAAAGAGGTAAA